GCATGGAAGCACTGTTAAGGATGAATTTAATGAAAGCATGCTTTGACTGGCTTCTTGCCCAGAGTCTATGATTTAAGAGAACAAAGATTATATTGCCTCTGATTCACATTCTGGGAACACCACTCAATATATTTCCTTTTTAAGTTTATAATACACACATCATAAGATGAAGTCAACAACAGATTCAAGTCTCCCGATTCCTAGTTCTGTGCTGTAACGAGTACACCATACTACCTTGCTAATATACAGGCTAGAATTGGTAAAAGCCAGTGTTTAGTTATTCACATTATGATTTAAATCAGGGATTCTCAAACTTAATTACACCAGAGAGTGGACTGAAGCCTGAGCCTGCCCGAATCATGCTGCTCTGAGGCCTCACCTCCTCCAGGTGGGAGGAGAGGAAGGGAGGAGGAGGCACAAAAGCTTCAGCTGCAGGCTGGGGGCATGTAATCTTTGAGCTACGTTGCCCAGAACTGAAGTCCTCTAGCTTCACTTTGGCATGGGTAGTATGGCTTGGCTTTATCTATGCCAGCTCAGGTGGCCCACAGTTTGAGAACCATGGATTTAAACAATGATCTTTTGTAATGACATTATCTTCACTGAAGTTAAAAAAATACAGTATTAACATAAAACCCTCAGGCTGTTTCTCAAAATCTTGTAAAAAGTAATTTAAATGATGCAATGAAGTGAACGTAAACTGAATGAATAAATGAACATTTCAGGAATCTTACTATTTGATTTTTTGTAATATAGACACTTAAAAAATCTTGTTGAAAAAGGCTATTTTTTAAGTTTGGATGCATAGTTCAGTCATCATATATACATATCCCCTATACAATACCTGAACCATGCTCTGACGTTGCTATTTTTCATGATACTTGGGCAAAAATTAAACTAACCGCCCAACCAACAGGCATGATCTTACAAGACGCTGCCCCACCACAAAGCATTGATTCAAATGAAGCATGTACATTTTCATTTTATTTTCCAAAAAGCAAAAATTAATTGAGTTAAGGACCTGAGCAAGGTCAGGTAAATGTTCTAGTATATTAATAATTATCTGTGTCATCTTGCAAGAGGCAGTTAACATTTCACATGATCAAAACCTAAAGGCTGTTGTTGTTGAACTAAACAATGCCTGAACTAAACAAGGTCCTGAATTATGTAAAATTTTCTTTGTGAGGGCCTTATACTTAGTGAGCATTCAGGAGTTCTTTAATGGTTGCTCAGCAAATCTGACAAGAAGTGACTTTACAAGCATTTAAAGGCAAATAAAACTTTCTGAGGGTATGCTCGAGAATGATGATTTTTATCAGCTTCCTTTTGCTGCACCACATTTTTCTGCCAAAATAATCCAAGCAAGAATTCATTACCAGAAGAATTTAATCAAACTTTACACTCCCTAGATGAGAGACAGTAGAGAACCTCAGAGTTATGAACACCAGCGTTATGAACTGACCTATAAACCACATACCTGTTGGAACTGGAAGTACGCAATCATGTGGCAACAGAGGGGGGAAAAAAGCAGCAGCAAAGAAAGTACAACAAACTATTAAAAATAAAGGGAAGTTTAAAAAAGATTTTAAATATTTGAATAAATAAAAAACTTTTCATGCTTGTTTCACTTAAATAACATGAGTAAAAGCAGCATTTTTCCTCTGCATAGTAAAGTTTCAAAGCTTTATTAAGTCAATGTTCAGTTATAAACTTTTTAAAGGATACTATAATGTTTTGTTCAGCATGACAAACCTTTCAGACTTAAGAAGAACTTCCATTCCTTAGGTTCTACTATATATGAATCTCATTTTCTGAAATTACCATTATTTTCTGGATGCTATATGAGCAAAACCAAAAGGAGCAGAAATAATGGAAACTCAGTGAAGAAAATGCTACTCTACGTGTGGCTACTGGTATTTTGAGGGTTAGGAAGTTGCACTGGTCACGGGAAGACAGGCCCTTGGTGCAGACAGAGGAATAGAAGATAGGTTAGGAAGTGACCCAGCGCTTGCCTCTGGGCATATATCTGAACCATTAATTTGAAGGGACCTGAGTTAGAAGCTGGTGGAACAGAGTGAACCAAGTTTCTTGTACCCCCAGCCATGCCTCTAGCCATTAGGCAAAGTAACCACAGTCTCTTACCCTTGACCAAGTTGCCTGATGACATCGCAACTAGGCAGAACTGCCAGCCTTGGACACAACACCCCTGCCCTAACACTCCAGCACCAGGTAAATGATTTGATAACTGTGAGCAAGTCAAGCAGGTGAAACAGTAAAGATGTAAAAGGTTAACTGGTAAGCCTTACCCTTAACACATGTGGCTTACCGGTTATGGTTAACTGGTGGGAGTTGGATAAAATCCCCCACCCGCCAGGGGCACACAGCTGCTCCAGTCTGGATGGAGCAGTCCTCTCTTTTCTCTCCCCTGTTTAACCAATTAAACAGGATTTCACATCCCTAGCAGACAGTACTATATGTGATGGAGTATACAAACCTTGCACCAAAGAAGATGTTTAAGTGCACTTAAGCAGCCCTGCCCCATTGTATCTTTATGGCAGAAGAAGATGTTTAAGTGCATTTATGAACTTAAGCAGCCCTGCCCCATTGTATCTTTATGGCACCTCAGGCCTGGAGGAAGGGCCTTTTTTTAAAAAAAAAGCAAGCCTTGCTCAGCTGGGTGCAGTACTGTAAGGAGAGTAGACCTCCTATCCTCAGCTTTTGTAGAGTGTGGTGCAGCAGTTAAAGACAAAGACTGCTTGCATGGCCATGATGGTCAATCTGAGCTCCCTGAGCATACGGTAGGCCAGATCCTGAATGGCTGGGTTAGAGCTCCTGTGAGTGACTTGCCTGAGGGTACTGAACTGTGTTACAGATGCTAGAAGCCTTCTGCAGGCAGGTGGCCTGCTGTCAGTTTCCAGAAGTTAGTTTGGTTTCTTTTGTCACCATGGGGACCTATGAGAGCCCCAGAAGGAAAAGCCAGAGGGTTGAGATTCTCACACCTAGACTTGTGCTTTTGAATGTTGAAGACTGAAGCACAGGGTTTTACCCCACCCCAAATAGGTGCCATGGGACATCAAGTTCATGACACTACTCTTGTGTAAGCTAGATATAAGAAGATCTCCACCTGTTACAGTAAAGAGACTAAATTGACAATCACAGCCAATCTATTTTCAGGTCTCACTAACCTTCACTAACACATCAACCATCAACAGATACACAGTCTGCTACAATCCTAAAACAACAACTTTTCTCGTATGTCTGCCCCATCTCAGGTACAACATAGTTTGGTGAGAACACAAGACAGTGAATTAGTAACTGCTGCAGAAAAGATGTATATTAAATTTAAGGTTTAGAAAAACAACTGATGGCAAACTACAACAGATGTGTGCTAATGGATCCAACAGTAAATAAGCAAGTACTTTGTCTGACTTTATCAAAACATTTTAATACAGAATATGAGCCCATTTCTGGAAATATTTGCTATTGTATAATATTTAATACCACAAGCAGTCCTAAAGTAATTAACGTTGTGCCCAATAGTAACTGTTTAGAGAACTGACCCATAACGTTTGTTTGCTCTAGAATTATTACAATATTTTGGAGAAATCAACAAGTTACTAATTAACTAAAGAGATTAATCCTATATCTTTCCAGCTTGCTCTTCCCATTTTTGTTGTGTATTACAGTCGAGGATTTTGTCTATGTTTGGCTCTCACGCAAAGCAACATTAAGAGGCATCTCTTTTCTAGTTTTACAGAGCAACATATGTCCAATTCTGTCTTGTACATTTTCTAGTTTATATTTTACCTCCAAACAAAGTCAGATTAATGCTGAACAAAATACACAAGACAGTGCTTACTGCAAGGAGCTGGACTGGGAAGTGTGCCAAATTTCCAACTGTGTCAACAGCATCCAGCCCTTGGGGTCAAATTCATCTCTTGTACCACTGGACTGAAGCTAATGGAGTTACAACAATAATAGTGTGCCTTTAAAGACAGATATAAGAGAACAAAGGTTCTACTTAGGTAAAGATTCTAAAAGCTCAGTTTCACAATTCAGCATCTCAGATGTAAATAAATCAAAATTAAAAAACATATCTGTGTGGGACAGATGTAAATCTGAGTTACTGGAGAGTTCTCCAAAATGGTTAAATTTATTTTCAAAACTAATTTGTGTATGCAAATACTTAGTTAGTGGAAGTCAGCATCTGCACCTGGCCCACTATGCAATTAATGGGCCATCTGCTAGCTTATCTATCTGGCTTGAACATACATACAATGAGTATATTTGCACATATTCACTCAGTCCACCGTACTTTGGGAGGTTTTGCCTCGCATCAATGCTGAGACCCCACTCATTCAAATACCTCTTTCTTAAAGAACCACTTCTTTCATGTAATCTATGTAACACTTAACTGATTAAAAGGGGGGAAAAAACCAGACTCTAAATTAACACCTGCTTTCAAAGCATACACTACTTCCTGTATCCCTCTGTTATGATCTATTCAGGCAAAAATAATCATTACTTGTCTTAGACTCTGCACTGTACGAGAAGTGATAACCATTGTTCTTTTGGATGGCACGAAGCTTGAGGGTTGAAACATGGTAGATGTTTGTGTGGCCAGTACAGGAGGGAATTTTGTAAAGAATTGCATAAAACAATGGTTTCAATCAGGGGTCAGACAGGAGGGAATTTTGTAAAGTAACAGAATTGCATAAAACAATGGTTTCAATCAGGGGTCAATGGACCCTTGGGGATCTGCAGACTAAGGGGTCCAGAAAAGGTTACCGTTGCCATAGAGCAAGTGATTCTCACCAGAGGTCCGTTGACTATGTCTAAAATTTCCAAAATGGTCCACACTTCCATCTGAAATTTTTTAGGGGCCCACAAACCATTTCTGGTTGAAAACCACTAGTCTAAAATGGTAGGGGATCACTGTAATGGGTAACCCCTTTCAAGGGATGGATACAGAAGTCATGGCCCGTAGTCATCAAATTGCTTACCTCCCGCAGTTCGAGTCGCTGAGCCACAGCTTCCAGACTTTCCTGCCCGGTGCTCTCCACAGAAAGCGTGAACTCCACAAATTCATTGTTGAGTAGCTGGATGCGGGCCACCAAGCAGCTCTTGCTGGACACCGTGTAACGTCGAGTTCGCTTCAGTTTGAGCCCAAAAGGTAACGGCATCTTTCCCCGCACACTGATAAAAAGCTTTCACCACACTTGATAATGAATAGAAGTTGGTCTTCTTCCAAGAAATAAAGAGCCTGGAAGTATCCAGCCAATCAACCAGCAGCAGCAGCCATTAAAGAAGAGCAGGTCCTCCACCAAGCTCTAACTGGAGGGAATTTCCAGAGCAGCTCTACAAGAAGGGAGAGAGTCCAGAAGCGATTTACTTAAAAGGGGAATTATAACCATGGGAAAACCACACCCAAACTTATGTTTTCTAAATCTACCTAGTCACTGTTTTTCTCCTCCACTAAAGAGATTGGCGTACGATCTATAACAGTGAGACAGGATCCAAGATTCTTGGTTCGCCATAGACTCTTAGAATGACCTTTGTAAGTCGCATTTTATCAAAGGCTCTATCTTAGTCATCTGCCAAATAGTGGAATGAATTTTTAACAAATGCTGCTAGCATGTTTTAAAGATTAAAGAAGAGCTTTAAAACTGCCAGGTACTTCATAAAACAGATCAATACTTGGTTCAGGCACCTTTAGGAAAAAGCTAAGTGCTTTGGTTATTTTGGAGGGAGAGTCAGTAGGTGGCACTGTTTTCTCCAATTCGGGACTTAATCTGTGCTCCAATTCAGAATCCTGAGCAGATACAAAATTTGTATCCACAAAAATGAGCCATGGAGATTCACATCCACAGATGCAGATATCCACAGATATAAAGTAGATATCTACAGATTTGCTGGTCTCTACCAGTATAGTCCTAGGAGCTCCAAGCAATTGGAGGCACTATCTTGGACAAAATGGAGAACCAAATCATAGGGTCATTAGAAATGTCATAGTTTGGGGTGGCCTCATTGGGGTGGGATTTTTGGTTTGGTGCAGGAGAGTGAGAGAACCATAGCCAGATTCCCTTTCAGCTTGTTATATTTCAACCTCCTTAATTCTCCTTGTACCTTGTTAGCTACAATGTTCTTTATTTCGTGTTCTAAACAGTGGTACTGTGTTACAGGTTGCTAGGAATTGCCAGTCATCCCCCCTCCATCTCACCGCATGGGATTACATTTCAATTGTGATTGAAACAATTATTTTCTAAATCTCTAAAAAACAGATTTATTCCTAGAAATGTATAAGCTGGAACAATTTCATTGACACCATCCATCATGTCATGTCTCCCAGAAACAATTTTCATGTTACCTCCTACAAGTAGAAAACCCTTCAAAAGTAAGTCTGGAAAGTTACTACCCTCTCTCAAATACTTTCTCACAGACCAATTCCCTATAATAAACTGCACATCATTTATTATAACTATTGACTGTTTAGAAAATGTGCATGCATAATGGATGGGAAGGTATCAACACTTCCTAAAAGAATATTTATTCTCTATGCCATGACTACTATGTTTCATGTGTATAAATAGTATGGGTAGTCACTAATCAGTAAGGTTTATAAAGTATTTAGAACTCCATTCCAAATGAAATTGCTACACAGAGGCGGGCTTCACGTAGTATACTGCTGACACGCAATCACATTCCTGGGGAGGAGGGAACCAAACATAAATCTTGAAACTACCGACCCAAGACAAACAACACGCTGCACATATCACCAACACACTGATTATCTGAGCCTGCAGCTTGAAAAAGTTAGTTTCATTTCACTCTCTCTGTTGGGACTAGCCCCACTAAGTTGGTGACTCACAAGTACTTGGTGTCAGACTCTGGGGACCTTCTGGATGTGTTCACATTTAAAGAGCTCTCTGGCTTTTGGCACAGAGAAGCCCCATCAATAGGGAGGGAACCAATCCCTACCTCGGGAGGCCTGAAGAGGGGCTCAGAACATGGGCTGTCAAAGGGAGACTCCCCTACAGAGGCTCTGAGTATTGGGCAAGGGCTGAGGCATCAGTCCCCACACCCACAGCAGCTTCTTGACATGTAAGAAACCCATTAATCCTGAGAAGCTGCCCTGAGCCCTGGCCTACAAAGGGAGGGGAGCATTTAAAGGGGCAGTGCCCATTTTAGTTAGACCTCCAGATGTGCTCCCCTTTAGCATCATGCATTGTTAACGGGGCAAGTGTGGCTGATTCCTCCAGTGCAATTTATTTTTCCTATTATTCTTGGTTTTCCTGGGGATGAGATTCCTGGTGTCTAGGTCAGGGCAATGATGTCATTCAGGTGCTCATGTGAAACCAGGGGACATTACACATCTTGCTTTTTTTTTTTTTTTGGTCTCCTCTAGTTTTCTGGTAACTTTATTTCAACACTTGAAACTTCAGGAAGAGGAGTATCAGCTTTTATATAATACAAGCCTACAAACACTCTTTTAAATGAAAAACTGGGAGGGGGGTTGCCAGTTTTTTTAAAATGCAGATTCATATCCACCTTAACTTTAAAGGTTGTTTTTTTTTAAGTTATGGAGGGAGGACATCTTTTTAAAAGTAATGTTACTCCAGCAATGTTTAAAATCTGAAAAAGCAGGACAAAGTAAGAGTGAATTATAGATACAGGAGACAAATTAAATATGTATCTGTGAACTAGAGATTAACTCTGTACCTAGGCAAAAAGTGATTCTGTAATTATCAAGCCATATGCCTAGCTTCAGTGCTACAAAAACCTAGCCTTGAAGGTACTAGTTACTACACTATGGAATTTAATAATTAAGCCAATCATCAATGAAACGCCAGACTGCTACAGACAACATGTTCTGCAACATTAACTGTGATAGCAGTTATTAACTATCTGCTCTATCACAGTAGCTAAAGACCTGTCAGTATTTACCATCAAGTCTTATTTTTAGCAGTGTTGTAGTATGGCAGCAAATATTTACTGTGGGTAAAAGCGTACAAGTTTGTCAAATCATGTACATCATTTTGTCAACAAAGTATTGCACGTGATTTCTCTCTTTCACAGTTTGGAGAGAATCAAAACATCAACTCATTTCCAAAGTCTTCCAAACAACATTTATTTGGACTAGCATGTGTTAATATTATATTTCTAAAAGTATTGATTTCTGAGACAACTCCCCTCGCAGTTTGTTAAATCATATACGTTATTTCCATAATACAGATTAATTTTGATGAGGGAGGCACACAGTTCCCTTTTAGTTTCTTAAAACATATAAATATTTGAATTAGGGGGTAGGGATAGCTCAGTGGTTTGAGCATTGGCCTGCTAAACCCAGGGTTGTGAGTTCAATCCTTGTGGAGGCCATTTGGGGCAAAAATTCATTGGGGTGGTACTTGGTCCTGCTGTGTAGGCACAGGACTGGACTCAATGACCTTTCAAGGTCCCTTCCAGTTCTAGGAGATAGGCAATCTCTATTATATAAAATCATTCTGACTCCATCCAGGAAAATTCAAAACAAACTCCTACTGAGCTCCATGTTCCCCTTTGTTAGGCACTATGGATGGCAATAAAAGTAGACAAAAATAGACAGACAACCCCATGACACAGAAGACAAGGTGAAGCAGCACCTCAGTGACCTACTTCAGTCCCCGCATCAGGAAACCCTCCAAGACCTTTTTGCATGGTAATGCTCCTAATGATTTGGAGCAAGTTGTGCCATTATATGTAACATACTTACAGAAGACTGCAAGTAATTAGGTAAGCTGTATTGGACTGTCTCCCTGTACACATATGCAATACCTAACAAATTTCTAAGTAGTGAATTACTACTAGAATGCAATAACAATTGATGGAATAAGATTTCCCTGCCTAGGGTGATGTGGGGTTTCCAGGCTTTCCTGTTTGCTCTGTACACTGATCCGCATTGTATCATTATATAGAAGAACTATGCAGGAAAGTTTCCACAGACAGAACCTTGCAGCGTTTCTGCATGCTGAGGGCAGAATCCCCCAGTGGATTTATTCCTTGCAGTGAAACTTGTAGATCACTGACCAAGCTCGGTTTCCTGTGTCTTGTTATTGAATAGATTATGCACGTCTCATTCTTCTAGTTCCAAAACCAAAAACAAATTATGGAGCTTTTAGTCAGTTTTTCTCAGAACTTTAAGTCTGTTTTACATCGTTTTAAAAGGATACAATTAAACAATAGCGACTTTCAGTCTTTTTAACTCTAAGGATTTTTTTTTGAAGATGTTATTTGGGTGCTATGTAACGCACTAGCTCCAAAGTGACTGACAAATGACGTTTACTTAATGAAAGTGTCAGATTCCCTGGATTCTCACTGTTAGTTATTTCTTTAATAAAACTAGATTTATGCACAGGAGTGAATTTTATATAAGACTTCTTACTCTGTTAAATAGGAAGGAGTTTTCAAAACATGCCAGGTACATTCTGAAGGCCATATTGTATTCTCTGCATGCTTCCCTGGCGATGACAAACTAATTTTCACTTTATCTGAATTATATTTTTGGTAATTTTTGCTTACATATGAAACATGCTTATTTTCACTTTATAAGATTATTCTTAGGAAAGCTATAGTGAAATTAAGTAATTACACGTATGTAATTTTCAATCCATATCACATACATAGCCCCTAACATATTGTAAAATACACTTGTATCCAACAAATAAGAACATGATTTGGGGAATAATGCCCAACAGTCATTCAATAAGTAACTGCTGGCCAGTTTTGTTTTCATTTAGCAGCTGTCATTTTGCTCTACCATCTGCTTCATATTTGTCTTGGGCATTACTTCAAATGTGTGTGTATATATACTGTTATGCTTTAAAAAGAGAGGGAGAACCGAGTTAAGGTGCCAATGCTTGCAAATGAAATCAACTCTCCTGAAATTACAAGTCTTTATTTAGTAGGCCTAGAATTTTCATACATCAGCCAAAAAAGAATTTCACTTGCTACATTCATCCATTCATGCGACACATAAAGTTTAGATAAGAATTTAGCACAATCTGGCCACAAACCAAACAGAATTACCACGGACCTCTTAAATTCATTTAACTTTGTAAAGCATTTCATCATAACAGGAATGACAGTCTGCAACATAAAAGTGCAACACAGGGAGAAGAAATTAGGTTTCTGCTATTTCAATTATTTAAATGTATAAACTTATTTTATAAATACGAGGCGAACGAAGCCTAAAACAAAACCACTTCCCTCGCCTTGTTACATTTTTACCAGTCAACCGCTGGTTTTACTTACTTCTGGACTAACGGTAAGAGTAAGAGCCAAATGCGCACATCGCAAACTTCTTCTACACAGAGCGAAAAGGCCCTGAAAGCTACACTGACCTCGCCTCTCCAGACTGCTTTTATTTCTCTTAAAGGAAATGCCTAAGCCCGTGTAGCCTGAACGCACAGAACAAAGAGGGGAAGAACATGTTATTTCCAACAGTGCCCGAGCCTTTCCCATTACCTGCTGCAGTGATCCAAAGCCACCGCGTGTCCCTGCCCACATCGTGAGCTGTGACACCCCCATCAGCACCGCTGAGAGCTCTTCCCCCGAAGCCGTCTCATCTAAATTCCTGGGGAACGGGGGTATTGTGCGCCCCTTGCACGAAACAGCTGCTACCTCCGCTCACCCGCCTGCTTCTCAGATCACTCATAGTGAAAACACGCCTCACTTCCTGTCTCAAAGCCCTTGCTCTGGATAGCATTCCACTGGGTATCATTCCACTGGGTAAAGAGTCGGGGAGGGGAACAATATTGCAGCCAAATAAACCTGCCGCAGCAGCCAGCTTTGCAGACAGGAAAGGGCGCTGTGAGGCTTGGCCACAACATGAGTTTTCTGGAATACAGTATTCCAAGTCCTCTCTCGCTCGCTCTCCCTGTGCATGTAATTTCTCTTGCTGGAGGCGTTCCTCTGGCTCTATCCATGCGGAAGGATACGCTGACAGATTAAAGTGAAACCCGTATGCTTGTAGCCTGTTACCTCAGAGAGTTGGAATGCCTGGCAGGGAGAATGTCAGCAATGGGACAGCTGCTTCTCTGGCTACAGGGGCGCTACAGAAATAGGGGTTTACAACAAACCCTATTTCAGATGCCTTCTTTGCAGCAACAGCACTACTGAGCTGAACACAAAATTGATTAGGAGATAGAACTCCCAGTCCTTGGTCAGACAAAATTCCAAGAGAGATCAACAGGAATTTTGCAGTCAGTAAGAACAGGAAGATCAGGCACTAAATGAAGACTAATTAGTTAAATGCTTCATAAACTTGGACTAAAGAAAAGCCTCATATAAATATTAAGGATTGAATCTCAGTCGCTGATTGGGAATCAGTGGGGAGTTCTACAGAGAAGGAGTTCTGACCTCTCTTCAGGTTTTTGTAATGGAATGACCCTCCTTGTTGTGTGTGACATTGATAAGCAAGAAGAAGGGGCCAAGAAGAAGGGGAAAAATAAATGCCAATAAGTGAATGTTGAATCATTATCAGAAAATGTCAGTTATACAATCTGAACTCTTCTCCACACTCTAGGTAATTTTTACTTGAATGTCCCCATGGACAGCAGATAACTGATCAGTGGCAACAAAATGTAGGTAATATTTGTACAATGAGGAACTTTCTTGAGTTATTTCTTCAATGTGTTAGGCCCCCACATGGTTTTTATCACCTTTTTTCATTCTGAACACAATTTCTCTGCCCTTCTCCATCTTAATGCTATTGAGGTCTATACTGTATATGATGATTACTGGAAGATGTCTATTCCAAGACAAAAATTAGACTGAGGGATTTTATGTTAGGAGTAAATACCAGTAACAAGTGTACAAAATTACAGGAATATTCCAGTGATTTCCAAAATATGCTGACTTTAAATTTCATTTTAAAAGAAATATCAGCATGTTAATGCACCTAATTAACACTAAGGCACCCAAATAACCTTAACTCTGTAGTGATACCATGCAATAACCATTTAATTATACTTAATTCATTTGTGATTTGGTCCTTCCCAGACCATTTTTCTTCCTTAATGGAGTCAACTATGGGGCATAGGGAAAGTTATTTAATACATCCCTACATTGCAACACTAGTAGGTTTGGAGAAAAATCTCTCCCCCTGCTCCCATTTAGTACCCTGTCATTGGGAGTGATTGCCCTTGGCTGCAGGTGTCTGAGAGTTCCTACATTTTATCTGTTAAATCCAGCTTTCACTGGATTTACATCTCTGAGAACTCTGTTAGCTCTCTAATTTTTAATCTATGTGTTATTTTTGCATCTTACACTAAGATGGCACCCAGCTCAGCACAAGTGCATGGAGCTTGTTAGTGGGCCCCTCCATGGAACTACATGCAGCCTACATTTCCACCTTTCTTCACAGGCCCTGTATTTCTCTCAGTTTCCTATAAGGGACCCATCCCTCCCATTCCTCTCTGCTTCTACGCCTCTCCTGCTGTCATGTCCCCACATGTTCTGTACTGCTCTCTGTGCTCCCCCAGCCCTCGTTCTTGCAGCCAAGTCTGACAGGCACTCAGGACACTTGTGACAGCTGTGGCTTCATTGCTGTTTAATGCACATGCTTGGATCTCTTACGCAGTTCTTTAGCAGAGGTAGTCTGACTGCTCACGGAAGCAGGGCTGGTAGTGAATTAATGTGCACTACAGCAGGCTCCATCAAGTTGGAGAAGGCTCCGTAGTCAGCTGTAATTCAAGCAGGGGGGACCCTTAGCGAAGCTCCTTCCCTCCCCCGCTCAGTCCTTGGGCCTGCTACAGAATGGGGCTGGAGCTGGGCCCATATCTCGTGGGAGGTCACAGGCCAGTACACACTTTGACCTGGTTGGATTCCCACCCCTCCAGTGAGCAACGTGGCTATTAGGCTGTACTAGAATTGATGGTCAACAGACTGACACTACTTACTGCCATGCTTACCACAGGCAGGGGACTGGTTGTGCCTTCATTTGCTGGCTTAGACTGAACTGGTGTTGCCCCATTGAGCGTCTCAGGGGCTTGCCTTTCTCTATCCTTGGAACTTGAGCAATGCCAGCAATGTAGCTGGGTATCGTGGCTAAGCAGGCCATGGTGGTTAAATGCAGGAGTTCACTGTGCCCCCTTCCTGGTGTTTTGGTGTCTATGCATGATTCCAAGGTTTGGGTCAGGGATGGGAATTACTCTTTGTGGGATTTATAAAATCTTCTCTCTTTTACAAATATATTTTCTTATTCTCTTCCCTTTTGCTACTTAACAGCGTGTCTCTGAAATTTCCTTTTTGTTTTTCGCCACTCAAAAAGGAATTATTTCTGACAAATACAGGATGCTCCATGAAAAAAGGTTAAATCGGAGCTTTCAGAAAATTGCAAAGCCTTTTAAAATATGGAGTGTTGTAGTCCTATCAGGCCCAGGATATTAATAAAATGAAAGAGATAATATCTTTTATTAGACAGACTTCTCTTGGTGTGAGATACAAGTTTTCTAGTTTGCATGGTGCTTTTCTTCTGGAAAGCTTAATCAGAGTATCACAGATAAAAACTCTGATTAAATTTCTCAGACCTGGAGAAAAGCTCTGTGTAACTCAAAAGCTTGTCTTTCTCATCAACAGAAAGTGGTTCAATAAAATATATTGTCACCACACCCATCTTGTCTAAGGGACCTCTTTAAGACCCCTAGGCAGTTATGTGAAATGCATCACTAATTTATTTGTTGAGTTTTAAAAAGAGTGTTAAGTGCCATAGAGTCCTAAAATGACATGCCATTTTAAGTGCCATAGAGTCCTAAAATGACACAGTCACTATCCGGGTTCTACAATGTGTGCAGTCAAATGTGTCCATTATGTTTCTGAAGATGAAACTTTTATCTGTGTTTGATGGGTCCTCTTTCAAGGAACAAATAAGCTCGTAAACAATAAAGTGCAGTTCATCATTTTCTGAGATTATTATTGAGGTTTTCCAGTCACAGCTTTGTAGTTAACACTGATTTTTGCACTTAACACAGAGGTGAATCATTTGATTTATGTATGAAGAATACAGCATATCTTCCCCAGAATTACAGCATTGTATCAGAAAATTCATTCTGTATTCAAAGATAATGTACAAGTAATCCACTAATTAGTTTGGGATAAAATTAATTTTACAATATGCCCTTTAGCATTCAGACCTTCCTTATCCAGACATCATCTCTGCTCCATACTGAACCCGTAAGTAATTTTTTGCAATTGTCCTCAACGTCTTTAGAGTAAATTTAATATAATCTGGGACCATAAACAAAAATTATTGCATCATGTTGATACAGGACAGAGTTAATGTTATTTACATACCTTTACTGTTTATTTCCATATTTAAATATGTTTGTATTTCTTTTAAGTTTTACCTTAACTTCTGGGTTTGTAAGCTTTTTTATGGGATAATTACAACCCTGTAATGTTAATGTTTTTACATTTAAGATAGTCATATGTTCTTTAACTGTAGTTTTTTTTGTATGAAAATAATCTTTGTTTCAATTATTAAAAATAGTATAAAATATACTAAGACCATTTCATTTCATTTCAATGCTATCTCATTATTTCCTTGTACTCTCCTATCCGTCTGAAGATATCTGATGTTTTGTCTTAGCAGAGGTGTAGGGGAGCTCAGGGTCGGGGGTTAAGGGAGAGGAGGATTTAGGGCAATAGGTGGTGATGTGGGGGTGCAGGAGTCAGGAGGTCGGCAGGTGTGGGAACTCAGGGCAGGGTGGTTGGAGTTTTGGGGGGGGGGGAGAACTGAAAATGCAGTAACTGCGCTGCCCGGCCAACAGATCCCCAGTGGCTGGAGCTTAGGTGCATTGTGGTCATGCTGCTCAGGGTGTAATCACAAAAGCCATTTTTGTCATTACACTGGCAGCATGCCCTGTCCCCAGCCAGTCATTCTGTTACCAGAAATGGGTGACAGGGGAGGGAATCAAGTGAGGATTACCTGTTGTGTTCCCTCCCTCTGGGGCATCTGGTATTGGCCACTGTCTGCAGACAGGATACTGGGCTAAGTGAACCGTTGGTCTGATGCAGCATGGCCGTTCTTATGCTGTGCTGCACCAGTTTATTTTCATCTTATTTTTAGATTGTAAAATCTCAGGGACAATGGGGATGGGTGGGAGGAGATTGCTGCATGTTTATATAGCACCTAGCACCATGAGGTTCTAGTCCATGACTTGAGCTGTTAAGCAACACTATAACACAACTTTTTAAAAGTTACCATGTGATATATACAATTTAAGAATTTGCAGTTTCACCTGAATTTGTTTTATTTTCAGTTTTTAGGAACAGATCTCATGTGCACTCTGTTTTATGACATTTTTGAGCAGTCCAAAGCAGGGGTGGCAGGTTTTCAGAAATTCTGATGGTACCCAGAAGATCCACCCCTCTCCCATCTGCCTAAGGCTCCTAGATTCCATCCCAGAGCCCACACCCAAGACTTCCTTCCCCCCACAAACTCCACCCCCCCTCCCACCTAAAACTCTGGGAAGGAGTTTGTGTGGTGGAGGGTGCCTTGGATGCTGGCTCCGGGATATGGCCTGGGTGCTGGCTTTAAGTTTGGGGTGCTCTAGCCCAACTGCACTGCTGGTGATGGCGGTGGGGCCCCCTGGGTTGTTTTAAAATCACCTGCAGTGGGAGATGGGTCCGCGGGAGAGACCCAGCCTGGAACTTTGGTAGAGCTGGTCCCCAGGCCAGGAATATTCCTCGTGCCCAGGCACCATGAGCCCACAGAACTCTCCACATATGGTCCAAAGTACACATAATATACTGATCTGTTAAACTGTTTATGGTGGGCAGGACTGGGGACAGTGGGACCACAATGGATGCTGGCTTCTGAGAGTGGCAGCCAGACATGCTGCTGCTTTTGCTGCTGTAATTCCTGGTAGAGCCCTTTATATTCACAAATATAAATTTTGCATCCACACAAGGTTCTAACTTTTACCCTCAAAAAATGAAAGTGCCTGGAGGGTTCGGTGCGAATTTTAGACTCACAGTTGAACCTAAAACTGAAACTGAGGTGCCTAAGTAGCTCCGTGTATCCCATTCTTAGTTGTGTGATATTTCGGGGGGAGGAGGTATGTTAATTTTTAAAAATCGCCCAATTTACCAAGGAAGGAAACAGGCAACTTGACTCAAACGGAAAGGACACTGGCTATTTGCACACACACCCCTTTTGCAAAGAGTGGTTACCCGTGTGAGAGAGCCTGGGGGCTGGGCAGGAGCAGCAGGGGGGACGCTCGGAGGCGCAGGGTTGTGGGCCCGGCACAGTGTGGAGCCCGCTTGCTCCATCAGTGC